CGGCCCCGCCCCGCCTCGGCACCTCGCACCGGGCTGTGTCTCGGTCCACCCCACCACCGCCTCCACCAGCTCATTCAACAGCTGGAGGCAAAGTTGCCCGGGGTGCAGCGCCCGTTAGAGGACAATCCCATCCTCGACCCTCCTCTCCCAGGTGCACCCCTTTCTGCCTGCGCCCTGATCTGGGGTCTCGTGCGTAACCGCTGGCGAGCTCTGCGGTGGGGCTGCTGCGTTCCCATTTTACAGGCCGGGCAGCAGAGTGCTTGCCCCAAGGTAACCCAGCGAGTTCGCAGAGTCTCCAATTCTCTCTACCTCCAACCAGGGTGTGCGCTCTCTCTCTCTCTCTCTCTCTCTCTCTCTCTCTCTCTCTCTCTCTCTCTCTCTCTCTCTCTCTCTCTCTCTCTCTCTCTCTCTCTCTGCCTTAACCCATATCCCCTGGAGGATACTGAGCTCTGCGGCTACCCAAAGAAACTTCCTAAAGCCTTCCTGGCCCCATTTCAAGCTGTGCTTCACACACACACACACACACACACACACACACACACACACACCATCTTGCAATGGGTCTCCCTGCACGGCTGCGGTAGGGAGGGGCTCTGCACCCAGAACTGGGTAGGTACATGAGCAGCTGATGGGGAGTCTGGGTTGGTGTCAGGAGCCTCCTCCAGCCGCTGTGACCAGCAAACCCAGACAGTTGAGTTGTGCCGCCGCCGCCAGGCTTTGTGCTTCGCAATCACTTTTCCGGCCGCATTTCCCAGTGCCTGTCCTCAGGTGGTGCACAGCGGCTCATCTCGGCTGCTGGAACTCCTAACAAGGGCATCTCATGCAGGCCTGGGCTGAGTCTGAGTGGATGAATGGGGATTGATGGATAGGAGTTGCTCAGCTGAAGAAATGGAGAAGGGTATCCCAGGCTGCGGGAACAACATGTGCAAACGTCGCAGAGGCGTAAAGCATCCTGGAGTATTAAGTGCGCAGGGACCCACGGAGTTGGGTATTACTAGAGCAGAAAGAATTGCTTCTCGGAAACACCTCCCTCTTGCCATCTGAGGACAGGAAAGCGGCTCGGGATAGGATAGGACCAGAAGGGTAGGCAAGCGCTGAGATGCAGGCCACCTGTTATGTTATGGTACAGAGAGACTGTTGGATGTCTCACCTCTGGGTCTCCAAATCTGTATCTTTGCTTGACAGGCACACTCCTACCCACCTATCCTCAGGTTCCTCCTTGCAGACCCAAGGAAGCCATTATGCTGCCTCCACCCTCTAACCTAATCCCTTCCCCCAAAGAGGAAGCTGAAGAGCTCAGTCAGGATCCCCCACCACCGGAGGACTGGGCGCCAAGCTGGGTCCAGAGCGGTCCCCAACGCCAGCCCGGCCTCTGACAGAGACAGCTGCCCCTGCGCCCTCTGGCGGATCTCATGCGTAACTGCAGAGAACACGTGTGCTCTGGTTTGGGCACTGGGAGAGGCCTACTAAATCCGCTCCGGCCCAAGACACTGAGCAATGCACCAGGGAGCACCAGGCATCGAATGGCAAAGTAATATGTCTAGTTCCATCTGTTTGAATTTCCCAGAGTGAGAGCCACCCCTCCCGTGCCACCTCAGTTTCCTCCTGTAGGAAATGCAGTCCTGGCCAGTCCTGAAGGCAACGCATCCTTAACTTGGATACTCCCTTCTTTCCTGGGGCTGCAGAGCCGGCTAGACTCACTCAGCGGTAGTTTTGAGCTTACATCATTCCCATATTCCCCATGAAGACTGGCCACTGCTGAGCAGAAAAACTGTAGCCGGTTTCCCTCTCTGAGCTCTGTTGCTGCCCCACACAGAAGATTGTGGTGTTGACCTGGACTGGGGTGGGGGTGGGGGGATGTCACTGCCGACCACACCACCATCTGGCTCCTTGACTGGGCTTTCTCTACACCAGCACTGTCCCACTGTACCTTTCTGCCATGGTGGGAATGATTTAAGGAGCCGCTAACCGCATGTGGCTATTGTGTGGTTAAAACCAGGCCTTCTACAAGTGCAGACTTATCTGTTTTATTTTGATTGATCTAGGCTTAAATGGCCACGGGTGGCTTGTGGCTACCATGTTAGTGGAGATCTGGGTGCACAGCAACCTCCTAGCTCAGTGCGTGTGTGCGCATGGGGATCCTGAGCACCCGGACATGGGGGTGGGATGAGGCAAAGGTGGACCTCAGCATTTCCCAGGTCTAGGCCAGGCCTTCCCATTCTGCACCTGGTCTCTTGTAAATGGCCCCTTCTGCTTCTCCTATCTGCTTACACCCTCCAGAGGCAGCCCGGAGCCCAAGCAGGTGTGGGACTGTCTTCTCATGGCAAAGTCGGGGGGTGTGGCATCAGCTGCCTAGGTGCCCACTCTGAAGTATCCAGATCAGCCGAAGATGTCTACCTCGGTGTGGCTGCTGGGCAGACTCGGGGTCTTCTAGAGAATGAAATCCAACTCCCCACTTCGCTCACTGGGTGGGCTAGTCTTATGGTAACTTGACACCAGCTAGAGTTTTCTGACGGGAGGGGAATCTCAATGGAAAAAAATGTCTTCATAAGATTCATTAGCAATTTTTTTTTTTAGTGATTGTTGGGGGCGGGCCCAGCCCATTGTGGATGGGGGCCACCCCTGGGCTGGTGGTCCAGGGTTCTATTAGAAAGCAGGCTGAGCAAGCCATGTGGAGCAAGTCAGTAAGCAGCAGCCCTCCATGGCCTCTGCTTCAGCTCCTGCCTCCAGGGTCCTGCCATGCTGGAGTTCCTGCCCTCACTGCTGCTGGACTGTTGTATGGAAATTAATCAAAATAATAAACCCTTTCCTCCCCAACTTTCCTTTGGTTATGGTGTTTCATCCCAGCAATAGAAGCCCTAACTAGGACATCCTCACTGGCCCTTCGCAGTTGGCCCTGGCAACCCTTCAGCATCTCTCCCAACACCCGCACATGCTCTAGAAGCCAGCAGCACGAGGTCAGTCCTTTCCAGAACACGCCACGAATCTCTCATTCCAGACTTCTTTGCCTGAGAGAACTTTCCTCCCCCTAGAAGCCTCCCTCCCTGCCTCCTGCCAGACTATCTGGCACAGGGCACTAGTCAAGGCCCACCTCCCCTAGGAACCCTGATAACCTCTACTGAGCTGACTCTGCTTCCTCCTCCTCCCTCAGGTCCCAGAACATTCTGGAGGCCACAGTGACAGCACACAACATGCCATGCTGTCATTCGCTCCTGTCATGCCCACTGGTGAGGCCTTCTCTGTTATGATCATCGTCTGTGACCCTTCCCCAATTCACTTCTCTCCAGGAGCCCAACACGCTTTTTATATGTCACTGTGTTTACAGGCTATAAAAATGGCCATTAAGGGCTTGTCTTTTAGGCAACCAGCCTCTCTCCCTCTTCCCATAACACCCTCATTCCTTCTCTCCTCGCAGCCATGGGCAGTCTTAATGGTATATGAATAGAGGCGCCTCTCCCCCAAGATGAGCTAATAGCTCACAGGTGGAGTGATATGTGGGCAGAAGGAACAGCTGTACGAGAATCATCCCAGAATCCCAATGTCCGAGATAACACGGTGGACACTTCCAGCTGCCTGGATCCCTGTCTTACATCCCATACCTCCACCCACCTTGGGGTCTTCTCAGGATGCTGAGGATTGGTCCCCACAGCCCACCAGCAAAGTGCCCTCCATTCCTGAGCTGACTAAACGTGGCTCACATTCTAATGACCCCACTAGCTTGACCATATCATGAGGCCATTTTCCCCCAGAAGGTCTTCTTTGGGGGGCCTGGAAAACAGTGGGAAGGGAATCGTGGGAATGCCAACGGCCAGGTGCACTTAGTTGCATAGCGAGATGTGCCCTTTAGACAGACATACATGATTTTTCAGTCACTGGTCTTCATGCCATTTGGGGTTGATGCTAAGAAATTAGGTTAGGCGATTCTCAGATCACAGATATGTGCACACAGAGCAGGTATCATAATCCTGTCGGGCCTCTGGTCCGGTGCTGGGGCAGAACGCTCCACTCACTGGAGACGGATCCACCATGAGAGGCGGAGTCTAGAGAGCACGTGTGAGTGTAGGAGAATACCCTGCCCTGTGCCCAACGTGGATGCCCTCCCCCAAGAGTCGTGGAGCAGAAAGAGGTGAGTGCAGGGGACAGAGAAGCCTTCTCAGCAAGAGGCCTTCAGATCAGAGTTGTCTTGCTTTCCTGGATGCCGTGACTGGTCCAGGAAGCAAGATCGAAGGCCAGGGTCAGGGATCAAATACTTCTGGGTCCTAAGAAGGGTGAGAGACCTTGAGGGTGGGCTGGGGAGAATCACTAGGAGGAAAAGAATAAAGGGAGGCCCCCAGGGAACTAAGGCCCTCTCCACTCCCACCCCTTCCTTCCCCCTCCCCATCTTCTCTGCCCCACTTCCTTCAGGAAAGCCTGCCTGTTTGCCATATCCGTCATCTGGTGTTGTGTAATGAATTACCTCCCAACTTCATCGCTGAATCAGCACAAAACAAAAAATCAAGTTTGCCACTCATGTGTTGGGGTCCAGAGGAGGAGGGAGGAGTGTTCTCATAAGGCCATTCCTGCCCTCTGAGGCCAAGACTGGGGACCTATTTCA